AAAAAAATATCTTTGTATTTCTGCTTATTCCTTAGGAAAAATCCCTCCCTGGAGTAGTCATGGCTCTCGTGTGCAATGTGTTTGATATGCTTTACCAGCTTGCCAATCTAGAGGAGCCAAGGTAAACAAGCTAAACAGTTATTAAATATTGAAAAGTGCTGGTGCTGGGATGTTCTAGTAGTTCCTGATTTTACTGTGTTTATGAGCACAGCTAGCCATTGTGCACCCGAGGAAGCTGTAATTTGCACAACTTCTGGTAACTTTTCAGGATAACGCTGCGAGTGAGGAAGCTGCTTCTCTTGATTCCCACTGACCCAGCTATTCAGGAGGCCCTTGATCAACTTGATTCCCTGGGAAGGAAGGTATGGATTAAACAATAACTAATCTTGGTGACCTTAACAAAAAAGATTTTACTATGGGATTGCTTAAATTCTCTTTAAGATAATAATCTCTGAAGGATTGGAAATTCTGCTGCAAAATAATGCTTATCTTAAGGATTAATGACTTACAAGCAGTTGGAGGCTAGAGGGTTATTACAAGGATTATGAGAGATGTATTGCCAATTAAAATGAAATGCAAAGTTCTAAGATGATTTCTTCTTTAACGCATTTGTCCTAGAAAACACTGTTGTCAGAATCAACTTCTCAGTCTTCAAAATCCCCATCCTTGTCTTCAAAACACCAGCATCAGCCCAGTGCTAGTTCCATACTAGAAAGTCTTTTCAGATCTTTTGCCCCAGGCATGTCCACCTTCAGAGTCCTCTACAATTTAGAAGTAAGTAAACAAATTTGTCACTCTCTGCTTGCAGGAATTTTTGTGTTTGTTTGTTTTTGATTGGGTTATATTTGTGGCAGTGGTGGTGGGTTTTTTATCTTTAGGACTGATACTTAACTAGTTGAAAGTTTCTTGCAGGGAGCCTCGAGCCTCTGGAGGTCATTATAGAAAACACAGAGTATTTTTGTCATATCGTGGTCTGCTTTTCTTTTTCATGTCAGAAATACCA